GCAGCTCTGCGCGGCCGCGCCTGCCACGAGCCGGGCCTCGCGCTCCCCGAGGTTCTCCTCCCCGGATCTCCTCCCTCCTCCCTCCCCGGATCTCCTCCTCCCTCCTCCCCGGATCTCCGCCCCGCGGCCCTGCTGTCCCTGCTCTCGCCGCTTCCCATCGCCTTTCCTCGGCGCCTGCGGGCGGTGCTGTCCCTCGGAACCGGCCGTGGTGTCCCGCTGGCTCATCCCCGGGCACCGCGGGCTGCTCTGCGGTGCTCCCGTTCTCCGCGGCTGGGTTGTCTCCTAAACAGTGTCCCAAGGGGCCGCTGAGCCTGTTGTTTCACACAGTAAGGCCTCTGCGTTTCGCTCGATGCTCCCTGGCTGGGTACTCATTTGGGTTTATGTGCTGTAGCTGTTTGAGTTCTTACCTTTGTGCACCACCTCCCACTGAAAGATAATCCTGTACACCCAGCCTGGCACTTCTGTGTTTCCACTGCAAGGATCTCCAGGTGTGGTGAGTGCATATTCCATCCAGATATTGCTAAATTGCCTTGATACTCAGAGCGTTTTAAGTAAGTTCCGGGTGGTTGGTACAGACGATAAAATGTTCTTTCTCTTAGGAGTGTCATGTAACAGCTGAACGTTTTCACCTGAAAACAGAAAATGGCTTCAAGAGGAACAACAGAGACCAGTAAGCTAAAACAGAATTTGGAGGAGCAGTTGGACAGGTTGATGCAGCAGCTTCAAGATCTGGAAGAATGCAGGTAATAAAAATGGCTGAGTTTTGTTGTTTGGGGTTTTTTAGCTAGTCTAACTTTTCATGTAGTTTGTTGAGTGTGATTTTGTGTTAGCTTTCTGTGGGCTAATAAAATCCAAGACAGACTGAATTACCCAGGGCAAGGTTGGGTTTTATCTGTTTCAGTACTTGCACTGAAGCACCTTGAGTGGGTTTAGATGCTTTCTCTGGCTGTAATTCTAACTTAGCCAAGCAGTGCATTTCTTTTTCATGAACAGCTTTAACTGCTAAAGGTTGGTGATGCTGTTTGTTTAGACAGGAGGATCAGTTATCCTGACTAACTCCATGGTTTGGGGTGAGGAGATGAGCTTCTCAGATCATCTCATTCACTGGAGCTTTGAGCAAGACAATTTCACTGCATGTTTTTGTTGAGATCCAAAATACACTTTAAATACTGCACCAGGTGTTGGGGATCTTGTCAGAGCCTTTTCAATGGCAGTGACTACATACAAGCCACAGAGGTGGATGTGTGGCTGGGGAGGGGGTGCAGACCCAGCCAACCACACAGGTCTTAGCTGAATCACAGCTGAGAGGGCCAGAGCAGAACCACCTGCAGTGATGTGAACTCTTCACTGCTGTCTGAGCAGTGAAGCTCCACAACACTTCCCTGTGCCCTTTCCTCCATGTCACGTCTCAGGTTTAATCCTGTGAATTAATGTGTCTTTGTTGGATCCTCTTTAGAGAAGAGCTGGATGCAGATGAGTATGAAGAGACCAAAAAGGAAACTCTAGAGCAGCTGAATGAGATCAATGACTCCCTGAAGAAGATTATGTCTGGAGATATGACTTTGGTGGATGAGCTCAGTGGGATGCAACTGGTGAGGATGATGTGTTGCTGAAAACAGTTCATGTTCTGCCTGGCATTGATGAAACAGAAAACAGATACAGGTGGTTTATTGTCATTTTTATGTGTGAAATCCAGATCTGTGTAACTAATGTTTTTATTACTTAATACGCATGTACATGTAAAAAACTTGGATAGGTCTCTTCATTTTAAAAGGGAAAAAAGGTTGAAGAATTATAACCATAACACTGTGGGAAATTGCAGGGACTAAAAATATCAGGTCCTTAGTATTAGAAAATAACTGAAAGTAATACAAATTACTATGAAAGGTGTAAGGGACAATCCAGGGTAATATGTCTGTCATGAGAAATAAAGTTCTTGTCTGTTTGTTAGAAAGCATAAGATGGAACTTCCTGTGCTCTTATTCCTGAGTTGTGTTTCAGGTTCATACCAGTCCAACTCAAAAGGCTGTAGGAGTTTTTGGACTCTAAGCTATTTTATTATTATATTTATGATGTTATTGATCTTATTTTATGTTAACATCCAAACCTTTTTTCTACTTGCAAATATTTAATTACAGCATGATTTTTACTTTCTAAGCCCTGTGTTTTAGGGGTTTGTTTCCAGAGAGATCATGATTTGTCCAGAGTTAACTGTGGTGAAATGTAATAATCCATAGAGGATTTGGATAACATTAGGTTTGTCTCATCATTTGCATTCTGCTTACCCTTAGAAGAGCTGTAATCATCAGTGTGGGCATTAAAACTGCTGAAGGGAACACAGCACATCTGCTTGTGATGTGCTATTAGCAGGAAGATGTTGGAAATGATTAGAAAGTAAGACCTGGACTGTAATGAAAAGTTTTACAGCTCTTTTTCAGTGTAGTTGCACTAATTAGTGGATTCTTCAAACCCTGCATAAAGGTCCTGCATCTTTTTTCATCTCATTTCCATGGCTGTGCAAAAAGGGAAGAGCTCTGTGTATGAAATGTTGCAGAGGACACTAATGATGCTCTCCAGCCCTCGTTAATCTTGTGGTGCAGCTGTAACTCGTGACTGCTGTTAGTGCTGGTCATTGTTGCTCTTTCCTCGCAGGCAATCCAAGCAGCCATCAGCCAAGCCTTTAAAACTCCAGAGGTGATTAGGATGTTTGCAAAGAAGCAGCCAAGGCAATTGAGGACGAGGCTGGCAGAGGTGAAGCTTTTTGTTTTACTGCAAAAACTGTTTATTTGAGCCAGAGTGATTCAGGTATGCAGTGACTGCATGGAGAGCACTCAGTGCTGAGAAACTTGGTGGCAGCATCATAAAGAGAAGAGAAGTTTGTTCAGTTGTAAATGTTTAGTGAGGTAATGGGGATAACAATGTGTGTTTCCTGAATCATCTACCTTGCTGCTTCCAAACAAAAATGGGATTAACAGTGAACTGAGTATAACTGCAAATAGAAAATGGGGGATTGTCCTGAGGGCTGGAGAGTGCACCCAAATCTAAACTGAACCAGAGATCCAGACAGAGTGAAATGATATGTGACTCCTCCACGGAGCAGTGATGTCATTCCATAATTTTGAATGGTTAGCAGTAAAAGAGATTAAAGTTTGGAGAAATTGAGTAAGTTGAGGTTAGGTGAAATACTGGCAATCTTACCTGTTTTGACTCATTTTCCTCCCCCATGTGCAGATGGACAGAGACTTAATGGTTGGGAAGTTGGCACGAGACCTGTACACCCAGCAGAAGGTGGAAATCCTGACTGCCCTCAGGAACCTTGGTGAGAAGGTAAGGGGATGGTGTGATGGTCAGATGACTCGAGTTTGCTGTCTGTATATTGAAGAGGAGCTTGAAATCATTAACATAACAAATTACAACTGTCATGGGCAAATGAAAAAATGCAGCTCCCTCTTACAGTACCATTTTAAAGCCAAGCTTTGTGGAGCACTCACTGCTGGACTTGCAGATAATTTTGTACATTTATCTGAGGCTGTTTCTGCTTTAAAATGCTTTCTTTGGTGGGTCATAGGAATGAATCACAAGGTGGTACAAGGTGATCATATTTATGAAAGCTGCAAGTCTTTTACTGACTAGCTACCACCTATCCCCCTGGCAGGAGCTATCCAGGACTTTTCACATACCTCCAGCTTCACTTGCTTTTGTGTTGTTGATAATACAATAACCTCTTGGTGTGAGATAAGAAATGGGAGAGATGAGTGATAAACTGTTTCCCCAATGCTCCATCAGTGGCAGAACAAGCCTTAGGTTTGCCACCAGAGGGAGGAAGAGAAATTATTTCCCTCTGTGGATGGTCCATGAAGGGAATAGGTTGCTGTGCATATCTGTGCTTAAACTTTCCTGGGAAATGAGGGAATGTATTGGAAAAGGTCAAGTGCAGTACTTAAAGGAGCTGCATTCCAAGTAGATTCCAAAGCAAAGGTTTTCCCTCAGAATATTTTTATTGCTTGACTGTCACAGAAAAACAAATGGTTTGGAAATAGGTAAAAGGCTAGTTAAGGTTGTGAACTGAATGCATGAAGATACCTGATCTTCTGGCATGAGATCCTTGGGTCACTTCATCAAGCCACTTCACCACACATTGTCCTAAGCTCTTGATCTCCCAAAATGATCAGTAACCTGCTGCACAGAGCACTGGCTAGGACAGTGTTTTCCTATCTGTTCTGCATGTGAACAGTGGCATGTTATGTGTTGGCCTGCACAGGAGTGTAAAACGTTAAGCAGTTGGATAGTTGCTTACAGCCAAGGCAGGTAACTAATACATTTCCTTCATTCCAACATCATCCTCAATGCCTGTGCCTGACTTTTATGTTGCTAATAAACACACTGATGCAAACACTGAACAGTTTTGACACACTGATATTTTGCATTAATAGGGATGTGGATCTGAGGCTAATTAAATGAGTGACTTTTAACTTAGAATATCTGATCCTTCCAAATGTAGGTTACTGCCTCATTACTGTAAATATTTTATGGGCATCTGTCACAAGGCATCAGAGCACATGCATAAAAGCAAAACAGACATGTGCAAATGTCACTTTAAAGGAAAAGAACCATTTCTAGGTCATTAGCTCTTAACATGGTCCGAGCTGGCAGTGACTGCATGGTTTTGCTTTCCTCAGTAGGTGATAGGAAGTGAGCTTAGATCTTGGTTCCTTACTGTACTGACCCATGGCAAAAAAAGTTATTGACATCCTTTGCATAGTTTTGGGATAGAGGAGGTGTCAGATACCACTGCCACTGAAAAACTGCAAATGGGCAATTGCTGTGACCTGTCAGGAATATGAACAGTTAAGATACCAAGCTCACAGTTGTGGCCTTCTTTAATTTAGCTCACTCAGGATGATGAGATGTTCTTGTCAGCAAATGCTGGTGCAGCTCTGAGCCAGTTTGAGAGAGTCTCCACTGACCTTGGTAAGTTTTCATGCTTGTAACTTCAATTTCTTTGTCTTCTTGAACACTGACTACTAGAAGTACCTCTGGTTGCTCTATGAAAGAGAAAGTAGGAACAAAAGGCTCATGCCATGAAATGCTGATTAACAAGGAGACTCTGATATACACCCAGCAAATATATCCAGTGCCAAGTGTCCATGAATGCCAAGTGTTACCCATCAAGGCCTGAGTGGTCTGTCTCAAGCAGAGATAACACTCACAGTTAAACACAGATCCTGTCTGCATTAATGGCTCTCTCCAAGAGAGCCTTTTCCTCTGCTTGATGCAGATGAATTGGCAATTATTGGCACACTGTCAAGACAGAGCTTAAAGCCTCTTCTTGCCATGATTGTCATACCTCTCATTGTATTGACAAGCTCAAAAGTTCAGTTATAAAATGCATTAAATAAGCACAACAGTTCATTCCAGCGTCACAGTCAGAGCTGGATGGAAGAACTGTGAATGGCAGGAATGTGCCAGAGTGGGGCAGGGTGTACAAATAAACTGTCCCTGTGACCTACCTTTCACACTCCTCTTCCTGAGAGTGTAAGCAAGGTGAGAACCCTGCTGTTCCAGGGGTACTTTGTTAGTAGCTCTGTGTGTGTGCTGGGGTGACCTTGGCTGGCCACCAGCTGCCCACCAAGCTGCTCTCATTTCCCCTCCTCAGCAGGACACAGGGAGAAAACAGAATTAAAACCCCATGGGTCGAGATAAAGGCAGTTTAATAAGGCCAAGCAAAGGCTGTGCACAGAAGCAAAGGAAAACATGAAGATATATACTCTCCATGTCCAGCCACGTTCTGGGATGTGGTGCCTCAGCATGTGCAGAAGATAAATGTCTTGTTAACAAATTCCCCACCTTCTCCTTTCTCCTTTCATTGCTGAGTGTGGTGTCCCAGGGCATGGACCCTCTGCTCAGTTTGGGTCCCTCCCAAGCTCCTGCCCACCCCAAACCTTTGGGGGTGGCACAGCCTCAGTGCTGGGCCAGCACTGCTCAGCAGGAGCCAAACCCTCCGTGTGCTGCCAACACCATTCCAGCTACAAACACAAACCACAGCTCAGAGAGAGCTGCTGGGGCACAGGGAGCTCCATCCCAGCCAGCCCCAGGATGCTGTGGCTGCTCTGGGCCTGGCAGTGCAGAGTGGTTTGCTTTGAATGAGCTCAAGTGTTCTAGTTTTCACAGTGTAGGTTTGATTTCTTTTGATCTCAAATGTTTTGCTTGATTTAAATTGTATATAAGGAAATTGACAATATCTGCTAATACTTACCGAGAATGTTTTTTTCCCCCTCACAGGATCAGGAGACAAAGTCTTTGCTCTAGCAAGTGTTGAAGTAGAGAAGGCAAAACAATGAAGAGGTGTGTGAGGCTTGTCTCTGCAGTTCTCAGCAACATTGGACTCTGTCACACTGCATTGGGGTTTTCTATTTCTAACACGTTGAAAAAAAAACAACCAGAAAAGCAAAACAAAAAAACCCAAACTCTAAAGCTCTTGGGTTCTTAACCAGAAGATATGAAGTAAACAGCCTTAAGTGCACTTTGGAACCTTGGTGTCTGTACCCCTTAAGTAACACCAGCTCTGAGGCTGAACACTAAGTGGGACTCTAAAAACAAAAGTGTGTTGTGGCTGTCTGTGGGAAGAATCAGCTGGTTTGAATTTTTCTGAATGTGTATTTCTCTAACTATTAAAATGGCATCTTTTTGCATGTGGTTGTAGCAAGCAGATGTTTTTCAGAGCAGTCCTGATGAGTGAGATTTTCGGTGATTCTTCACATCGCGTTCAAGTTGTCTTAATTGTTGTCTGGACTCCTTACTGAGTAGTTTGTCCTAGGAAAGCTCTGAAGCTTTAGGAAATGGATGGAGTTTATTTCCACAAACTGTTTGCAGAAGCCCCAGAACGAGCCTGGGCGCTGATCACTGGCCCTTGGCTGCTTGTTTGCGGTGCACATGAATGAGCACTTTGTGTCCCAGCCCTGACTGACAGACAATGCAGCCCTGTGGGGAGGCCTCTGGAGCAATTTAACCTTGTGTGTTGGAACGACAGGGAATTGATAGGAAATGGCACTGAGAGGCCCTTGCTGTGACCTCTTCCTTCAGCTCTGGTGTGTAACTACACATTGCTCTTATTCCCCAGGATGTCTGAGGTGGCATGAAATAACTTGCAAGTAGAAACAAGTTTTTTTTAAAGGGGGGAAAAAACTCCCATTATGTGGTCAGTGCAAGTGTTGCTCAGTGGTGGTGCTGTAGAGAGGGAAGAGTCTGTGCCTCCACAGAGAAGTTAAAATCCTGAATAAACTCAGAGTGTAGGAGAGTTTAAAATCTCATATTGCTGTTTTTTCGGCTCATAGCGTGGAGAAACTACTTGGGACTCTAGATGTGAATTTAACTTATTGATAAGCTACTTTTTGTAAACTCTTATTCTTAAAGTACTGGCAGCTTCACACTTCAGTGCTTGTTTGCATTTTGTCTGAGCTGGTTTGCAGTCTGTGTTTCACTGAGAAGTTTTTCAGCTTGAGAAATGTGCATTTAAGGTCTACTCTGCCCTTGGTATATATTCAGGTGCTGAACTAATGATACTGGCAACAAAAAAACCCCAAAACACTAAGGGCATTTTTTTATTTCATACTTGTTCCCCTTCTTAGTTTACCACTGGCTAAAGTGAGCAGCTTCTAGCTGAAAAAAATGCAAAAAATCTTAAAGGCAAAAGAATAACTTCATGCAAAAAAAGTAACTTCCCTCCATTTCTATGCAAAACCAGTTCAAACATTAGCCAGTTTTGGGTCCTCTGGACTGTGTTTTGAGAGGGAGTTAGCCCTTGCTTTCTGTGGACATCTTCAGAAGTGGAGGAAGTGTTATGAAACCTCCTTGGCAAAAGGAGCCTCTGACTGTGAGTGTTGATGTGCTGTTGTTATCCAGCTCAGGTGCTGTGACTTGCCAGGCACACAGAGGCAGGTCCCTGCCCATCAGGTGAGACACCAGTGGAGCCAGAGAAGAAACTTCATTCAGCTGCTTAAACTCCACAAATTCTGTTTGTTTCTAAGCAATACACTTGTCTTTCCTTAAGTGAGAGCCAAGTAGAGTAACCAAACACCACAGTGATTTGTGCTAACTCTGCAGCAAATGACATCAAAAGGAGGTTAAACAGAGATTTCCACCTGTATTGCTAAGGTGGTTGGTGTAGCTTCAGGGCAAACAGAGTCTGTGCTGGTTGTAGTGATTGGGTATTTTTTTTTGACGTGTCTTATAAGTTTCTGAGCTGTAAGATGTGATAACAGTAAGTCTTGCTGGGAGGAAAAGGATGGTGATAATACTGGAAAGATCAGAAGAACTCCTAGGGGAAAAAGTGATCTTGTTGTCATCTTGTTAGTGCTTGGAATTATAAAAGTGAGGAAGTATGTGTACTAAAAGACTGAATTATTTTCGAATTAGTAATGGTTGATGAAGCAGATTTTTAAACTGAAATGTTGGGTGGGTTTGGTTCCAGTTTGTGGCTGGTTTTGGCCACAGGGGTTGGACCTGCATTTGTCAGCACTGAAGGTGACCCACAGCTTGGAGGAATCCTGTGTTTAATGGAGTAGAACATCCTTGTTTTACCTATTATATATATGTCTTAGGCTTGTATAGCTAGAAATGAGCTTCAGTGAGAACTGCCATTAAACTGAGTGCATGGAAATAGTCTGAGACTTGAACAGTGTTAACCTCAGTGTCCCAGAGCAGTTACTTGGGCACTGAGGGAGTAGCACAGACTCTGAGCAGAATATTACCATGGTCAGTCATCATTTAGAGTGCACTTACAGGGCATAAATACCCTAGAGATAAGCAAGTTTGTCTAACTGTAAGCTAGGAATGGAGTAGACTAGAAAATGTGTTTCTAGACTGTATTTTGTCGAATAGATATCCTTGTGAAATCTCACGTTTTAGAAATGAAGGGCACATGGCAGAGAGCATCACTGCTGGTTTTCACTGGTGGAACTTCTTCCTCCTTGTTTTAAGATGCCTTTGTTTAGTTGGTGCCCTTTGTCCATCCTCTCAGACCTGTTTTGCTGTCTGGGGCAGCACGATGTGCTCTGACAAAGGCTGATTGCAGCTTCAGAGCTGAAAGCAGCTTAGTAAAAGGAGTTATTAGACACTCTGAAATTATTGGAAACAAAACAGTCCGCGGGGACTGTCGCTGCTGCCTTTGCCTTTCTGCTCATTACTGGTGCTAAGGAACTCTCTCCCCACCCCTCGCCCTGCTTGTACCATTAGCATGTAAATAACCTCTCTCAGCTCTCCAGCACATCACACCAAGTTTACAGCACAATGATACGGAAATCTTTTTTTTCCCCCGTAGTTCAAGAGGTGCATGTTTCCAGGAGAAACTTTTTAAAATTGATTTGTAAAGATTTGACGATTTTTGCAACGTTTCTGTACTGCAGCAGTTGTACCATTCCTATTAAACTGACCCTTGGCTGAACACCTTTTCAACGTTGTGCTGCTTCTGCTCTTGGAAGGATCTCCTATGATTTAAATGACAAAGATGTGATTGAGATCAGTGAGCAATATTAGTGCAAGATTCTGTGTGCCAGGGCTGTGAAGGGTCAGAAATCAGAGTTCATAGCCCAGAGACTCTTATGTCCTGCAAAATGCCCTGAGCAAAATGTGGTTTACCAAGGAAGCTGTTGTTGATGTGAAGCTACTCATGTGTTGACCCTAAGAGTTATTTAAGAAACCTATTAGAAGTGGTTAGATTGATTCCAGAGCCATAGTGAGTTCATTGCTGTGTGTTGTGCTAAATAACCCTAGGATGTACCTCCACCACTAGCTCCAAATGTTTCTGCAGGGGCTGGAAAAAACAGTCCATAATCTATTTATGATAGTCATCATTTGCTCAAATAAAAACTGGTAACAAAAGAACAGCTCCTGGGTGAAAACATGGGTTTGGTGTTTAACAAACAAGCGTGTGATGTGTGAGTGCCAACCCCAGGTCAGTGTTACACCCAGGCACATCACTCACTCTGCACATCTTTCTCTCCTGGAGTAAAACACAGATTGTGACACTGAATATCAGTGCTGTGGAGCTGTTACTGATCACACGTTGCTTTGAAGATTACAAGTGCTTTGTTTTTTGTTTATCATTTTACTTCTGAAATAAGAATTGTACAGTAGCATTAAACACAGTGGCAAAGTTCCCAGAGTCCTTTTTTGGCCATATGTAACCTCTGTTTTTAATCTTCTTTCTCTATAGAGTGAGTTCAGTGATTGTACTGATCTGAAAGGAAAAAAGTGTTAGAGAGAAAATTGAAGCTTCAAATGCTCTGTCTCTCTTTTTTCTGTCTTTGTCTCCTTGTATTATTTCCCTGCTTTGATCTTGAATGGAAAAGTAGCAAGATATCTTTGTCTTGAAGGAAAAATACAAGATTTCTTAAGAGATCCCTTAGTTCCTCATGTTACCTTGCCTGTAAAAGTCAAATTCATTTTGATAGAGAGCTCTGGGAACAATACCCTCCTGGCCAGGCAGCTCAGGCTGTGCCATTAGTGCCTGGAATGGGAGGCAAATCAAAATGGAACCGTTTGGGTTTGTTTCCAGTGTGCCAATTCCCTTCCTAGATCAGGACAAATGTAACTTTCACATTGTAAAGAAACAGAAGTCAGCCCATAGGAACCTCATCTTGCTGTGAGGTTGTAGGGTTTTTAGCTTTACTTTCATAGGGTTTTGGGCCTGGGAGGGTGAGAGGAGAATTACTGGAGTTGAAGTTGCTCAGGATTTTTCTCCTATTACTTTTAAAGGCCTGTGCCACCCCAGTGAAACAGGAGCTGCTGGTGCTCAGAGCATCTGGAAAAGTGGTCTCAACTACCTGATAGGGCAAATAAAAATGTTTCAGAATAAGTAATCTCTAAAACAAGGTCTTATGGAGGAAACACAGACACAAGGTCAGTGGATATGACTCTGCAAGGCACTGCTGTATCATGCACTGAAATACCTACTGCAGTTTAACACACTCGTGTTAATGATACATTTAACAGCAGATTTCTCTTTTAAACAAGTACTAATCATGGAACATCTCTTTTTGTCTAGCAATCAGAATACTTTGCTGCTGGAGAATGTCTAGGATCATGTTTTCAACGTGCCTCCAAAAGTGGGGCAGTGAGAATGGCAGATGTGCTGGAAAGCCTGAGGCAGAGCCACCTGCAGATCCTGTGCACAGAGGTGGCAGTGTCTGGGTAAAGACTTTTCCTTTAGATTGTCCAGTCCATGTCCCTGTAAGGTGGAGATGAGCATAATGTTATGTGACACTTGTAGAAGGTTGTGCTTTGCAACTCTCTAAATGCTGAATTGAATCTGGCAACACTTGTGGGTTTGAGCAAAACAGCTGAGGTGATTTCTTGCCACACAAACTAAGCCTTGGGTAACAAAAAGAGATTGTCACAGCCTTTTTTTTACAGCTAAGGGCTGTTTTGTGCATCCCTTGGAATATCTCTGCAGACCTCCTCGTTGCACAGTCTGTACAAACAGTAGATATTGTAACTAAGGCAGCTGAGCCATTCCTTTCATTTTCTGGTGTCATCTCTCTAATCTACACCAGTTGTGCTCACCCCTAGTCATGGGAAGTTCATGGCTGTTGTGACTCTCCATCATTTATTAC